ATATAATAAAAAAAAAAAAGTTTTTGGCCTTAAATAACCCAACAGAAGTTGATATATCATAAAATATACCAACTGTACCTGTCTACTACTGTGTTTTGTACTTTAATATTATTGTTCAGTTTTGTGCAGTTTTAGATTCTGTCTGCTACTTGAGTTATACACTGATTATTTTTATTGTATTTTCCCAATTTTCAAATAAGCTTTTAAACATCCAGTTGAAAATTGTGAAGAAACTGTTCAAATTTGCTGTTTTTGCTTTGTTTTTATTTCAGTACTTTTATTTTGGTCATTATCAAGAACTAAATGTTGTCACTAGACAAGAGTTACATTTCAAAATTAACACCTCAAACATTTTTCACCATGCTTAGAATTATTGTAATTTTTAATTATTAATGACAAGAATATTTTTGATGCACCTTAAAATACATTTACTTCCAACCATCTGTTTTTAAAAATTAATGAAGCCCAAATTTTAAGGTTGAATTTCTTTGCAAATATGCATGAAAAAATTACTGGTTTACATTGTACTGGAAAATATGACATTATATCAAATCTGTCAAAGCAAATATTAGATTAATCAAAAGGTTTGATTTATTAAGTAAAATTTATATAAATTCAAATGTGGTTAAAATAAAAATGGTCCTTATATATTCTAGTGAGAAAAACAGCACAATCTTTTGGCCAGATAAATACATACATATCTGTAAGAATTTTTGCTAGCTTATTTTCATTCCTTTATACATCTATTTTCATCTGAAGAGGATCAGATATTTACTGATGAATTGTACAGTCTGAATTATCCTTCCTTTAACATCACGTGCTGAATTCTAAGGGATGAGCATATCCGTTACATGAAGTCAGATCCTTGTAATAGTCTTTTGAAATGGTTCAAGGACATCATCAGAGAGAATGCTGCAATTTTATTCTAACCTTTCTGACTATGAACAGGATGCTGCTAACAAATGCACCTGGAGAAAATTCATCCACACTGAAGTATGTATCATTAAAAGCTTCAATAGAAGTACTGTGATGAACAAAAGTAGGCTTACTCACTTCTACTCACTTGTAATGCTTAATTTTGTATAAATGGCTTCAAATTTAGTTTAATATCTTCAGCTTATGAATAAGTCACATATAGAAAATGCTATGTGCATTTGATATATAGTGTATGTATAAGATTTTTTACATTATCAGAAGAATCCACTACTTTGTTCATCCTGGACATATGTTAAAAGAGCTCTGAAATAAGACAGGTCTCTCTCTCTCTATGTAATATATGTATCCAAGTATAGGATTGGTGTATACGGAATAAATTCCAATAACCAAAAATACTATTCTTAAAAGAATGAGTAGAGCAAATATAATTTATTTGAAAATTTATAACATGTTATAAAAACACTACAAAAATAGTCTTTTTGTTTTAACACTTCTGGTGTATTATCAAGTGATGGTATTGAATGTAGAATAAAGGGTTTTAAAAGGTTCAACTCAGTCAAACAACCCTTGGTATATGTGTGTGTGTGTGTTAATAAATACGCATATACCTACATTTGATGTGCGACTCGAATTTTGTTGATTACCCAATTCATTGGGCACAAGCTATCGCTTATTGTTTAATAACTGTGAAGAAAAGAGGAAGAGAGAGTGGGGTACTTACAGACTGGTTGCTTCAGCCCTGGGGGAATTGTGCCCAGCTAAACTGGAAGCAAGTGACCAATTGATACTTATGGTCTTGGTAGGAGGAGGATTGTGGGAAGCAGTTAGCCTCCTGACAAAAATCGTACTCCATACTCTCACCAGACATTTTTGTCTACCAGCCAACGCGTGACTGGTTAATTGTCATGCTGAAAGATTATTAATTTTTTTTTTTCTTCTCTATTACTAGACCTAGTTTGTGCGGGTCGCAAGAGAAGGACTCCTTTTGTGACCCTTACCAGGTTGTTGCTGCTCTCTTCTGGGTTTCCCCCCCTTTTACTGTGTCGAAAGTTATTTTTTTTCGACATAACATAATAAGCGATATCTCCTGCTCAATGAATTGGGTAACCAACAAAATTCAAGTCGCACACCAAATGTAGGTATATGTGTATTTATTAACATATTTCTTAGCTCTGTCTAATCACATTGAGCACTATTATGTCTACACCTCTTGGCTATATTTGGTAATTATTTATTTGCTTACCAGAGTATGCACACCAGCATATACAGTGATTAATATCTATTTATCTCATTTACCAAACCCTGTATATATATATATATATATATATATATATATATATATATATATACACAAACACACAATTTGACCCACACTTGTTGGAATAACTCTGAATTTCATGCATGATACAATCATCAGATACTGATTGAAACCTGGCAGTTGTAAAATTTAAATATTGATATTTATGCTGTACTCAATGTGTGATAATTTATAGAGTACAGTATGAATGTCATTATTTAAATTTTATAGTGGTCAGTTTTCAATTAGCACCTGATGATTGCATCATGCATAAAACTCAGTTGTGCTACTAGTGAGCAACAAAATGTATATTTATTATTAGTATACATTTTATCTCTGTTACTATTAACACCAGCATTCAATGTGCTATATACAGGAATTCTTTGATTAATGCAGCTAATTTGTACATTGGTAACTATAAAACAATCAATTTTCTATTACTTTAGTTACCTAATCCAGTATTATGTAAGCACTAATCAAATTTTGGTATATAAAAATTTTAGTACACTAATGTTAAACACATTAATTAAGGGATGCCTGTTATATATATATATATATATATATATATATATATATATGATTTTCCGACTACCTCAAAATCGAGTTTTGTATATGAAACTGTCAATTGTGTAATTAAGTAAATATTAAATAAAGTTCATATTTTTTTCTGAAATATATATATATGACAAATGCATTACACAATTTTTTCAGTTTGTTATTCAATTATTGTGTGTGTGTATATATATATATATATATATATATATATATATATATATATATATATATGGTAATTGAATAACAAACTGAAAAAATTCTATGTAATGCATTTGTCCTTACATAGAATTTTTCCACTTTGTCTTTTAGTTGACTAACTTGGCCTGATATATAGCCATTTATATATTACATTCTCCCATATAGAGAGGGTCAAATGGATAAATTGTCATCTAAATTATGCTAAAATGAAAATAACAGACATCTCCTTTTAATAGATATATTTAGCAAAATTATACAAAAATATCTAACACTACTAAAGAGTAAATTTATTCAATAAAATCACCATTGGATTCATTCATGGCCTTCAGAAGACTTAGGAATCTCCTGCAACTCTTCTGGACAGTCTCATTGTTTAGGTTGATGAGTGCTGCCATAAATTCAACTTTGGTGTTACAAGGAGTTTTCTTGGTCTCTTACTTAACTGCACCCCCACACATAATAATCAAGGGGGTTGCAGTCTGGAGAGTTAGGTGGCCAGATGTAAGGGGTGATGTGGCTGCAGGAATTGTCTGACAGCTATGATTGGTTTCTCCTGCTTGTGTGGCATGGTGTAGAGTCCTGTTGTCAGATTTAGTGTCTTCCAGCTGCCACTCTCTTGACACAGGGCAGCACTGCCTCCTCAAGACACTTGACGTAGGCCTCTGTGTTGAGTCTGAGGCCCTCACCAACAAATCTGAGAGTTCTTTTCTTATCTAAACATTCAGAGTGATTTTTCCGAGCTGCCATACCTTTGTAATCACTGTTAGACTCCTCTAACTATTTCCAAATCCTCTGCACTTTCCTCAGATTGACTCCCAAATGCTCTGAAATTTTTGTATTGGAGTTTCTGGTGCGAATGCCAAGCAGTACAGTAAGTCGTTTCCAAATTTCTGGCAGAGTGAATTGAATCATGATGCTCTTTTTCTCACTGTGCCCAAATGTATTTTTGGTTTATTTGTATATATTCAGTTTTTCTTAAAAGACATGAAATTATTTGAATTTCTTTTTCTTAGCAGCATTAGTTTATAACATAGTCTTTATTTGAATTTATTTGTAAGTTAGGGGATAATGTAACTTTCGAGTTATATGTGTAGCAAATTATTTCTGTTTTGAATAGTGATATGTAAAAGTTTTCTAAATAAATTGTTAATCTACTGATTTTGCTATTTGTAGCTCATTAGATACATTTGATCTCTCTCAATATTTAAGGTCTTTTTTTATTATCATAATATTTATTTGAAATTATAGTGCATTTTATACAAGAATAATTACAATTTGTATTTTTGGATAATCTGTTCCAAAAGTGAATAACATAAGATTAATTAGCTTTGTCTACCTTTCATTGAACCATAAACCTTGATTTAGTATTTAACTCTTGAAATCTGAAAATTCTTTTAAGATCAAGTAGAAGAGATAACAAAAAGACAAAATTTATTAAGAGCTACAAAGGACAGGAAATTGTGGAGAGCCATGATTGCCAACATCTTGAAGGGACACTGCACATAAAAGAAAAATGAGCTTGTTTAAATGGATGGCAGAACAGAGTTTAGGAGATAACAAAATGACAAAATTTGTTAAGAGCTACAAAGAACAGGAAATTGTGGAGAGCCATGATCACCAATGGTACATAGAAAAAGAATTATTCAACAATTTTGAAAGAAAGGGTCAGATATTTTATTTATAGATTATTCTATCCAATTATCCCCTAAAGTATTTTTTTTTTTTTTTTTCACAAAATATTTTAGAAGTGTTTTTCATGATTTTTTTGTTTTTTTTAACAATGATATTTACCTTGTAAAAAGCCCAAGAGCCACTTGAGGTAAAGGGTTACAGAGCAAGATGCACAGTTTATGGGGAGGGTATGTGGGAAAGATAATAATTGACCTTAGATTTGAACAGGCCAAGATTGTAGTAATCAGGGAAGCATCCTCTTCTTAGTAATGTCATAATTTGTGAGTGTTAAGGATTAGTAAGTTAATGTTTTGAATTAAATATATTATTACTTTTCTTTTAGGCTTTTGTGGATAGCAATCCTTCAATGAAATGGTGTCCATACCCAGGCTGTGCAAGAGCGGTCCACTTGCCTGAAATAGAGAACACTAATGGATCTAATTCATTGCTAACTGCTGTCAAAATCCCTGAAGATACATCACGGGCTGTGGATTGTGGAAATGGTCACTACTTTTGCTGGTAAGTTATTATCAATAATCAGAAATGAATCAATAATCATCTCTGCCCCTACTTTAGGGTAAATAGTAGTGTAGACTTGTCTCTCTATTTTTGTATGGTCGTCTAGGAAAAGTATCACTCTGAATTCATGACAATTCACAGGTAATAATAAAAAAATGAGTCTATGGAAAGTCATGATCATCCACTTTCTAAAGAGACATGGCATTTTAAGAGAGATCTTTAACTACTTTTATTGCCTGAGCACTGTAAGCATTGCTTCAGATTGATTTGTTTTTTTAAGTCTTATCAACCTTTTGCAGGTTATTTAAAGCCAGAAAATATTTTTAAATTCTAAGAATTTTTTGGAGATAATAATAATTTACTGATACAAGTATTACTCAGTCAGTTATGTGACATATGTTCATCCACGGCCTCCAGAAGACTTAGGAATCTCCTGCAACTCTTCTGGGTGGTTTCCTTGTTTAAGTTGATGAGTGCTGCCATAAATTCATCTTTGGTGTTACAAGGAGTTTTATTGGTCTCTTGCTTAACTGCACCCCACACATAATAATCAAGGGGGTTGCAGTCTGGAGAGTTAGGTGGCCAGATGTAAGGGGGTGATCATGTCTTTCTTGATTCATGAATGACTAAGCAAAAGAATTTTCTTGCAGTAGTTTGCTGTTTCATTGTGTGGTAGACTGGTTACCAACCAAGGCTATACGACTCCGTCTGTCCTGCTATTCAACCAATAGCTGGTTGGGGAGAGATGGATTCATATAAATCCTACTAAATAACCCATTGTATTCATACCTTTCCCAATGGTATTTGTGCATAAATGACTATAGCGAACATGACTTGAAACTAACCAGGTTTGATTTCACTTAATTTTGGTGATCGTACAAGAATTAGTGTTTCAACATGATATGGCCATAAGCCCATTGTCTGAGAATACTCAATAACCATAGGTTTTTTTCTATTGTTTGAAAATACTTACTTATGCAACACACCATAAATTTTTTTCTGAAAATCATATTTAAATATCAGGATTTTTTTTAGTCTGTTAAACTCTGGAAGCCCTGGAAAAACAGCATGAATACTTATTTTGTATTATCCACTTGTCAAATCTTAAGAATTCATATTATCACGTTCTATAAAGTTTTTTTTCTTCTTTTACTCTTTTGTATCAAATACAAGTGCCAGCTGAAATAGTCATACTTGTGGGAATTTTTCAACTTATAAGCATACTAGTTCAAAAAAATGTTTCACTGGTAATTTCTATATAATTTTAATAAACATTGGACAAAATAACCATGCTACAGAGAAAATTATTTGAAAACTAACAAGTATGCCATGCTAAATAATCAGCATGTGTATTTGAGACTGTTCATATCTATCTATATATCTGAGATTGTTCATATGTATCTATGTGTCTGCCTGAGACTGTTCATGTCGATCTATTTTTCTATCTGAGTGTTCATGTTGATCTATTTTTCTATCTGAGACTGTTCATGTCGATCTATATATCTACCTGAGGCTGTTCATGTCTATCTGTTTATCTATCAAATTATCTCTGTCTGTAACTGTCTACCTATCTCCATCTGTCTGTAACTGTCTGTCTACCTATCTCTGTCTGTCCATAACTGTCTATTTCCATCCGTTCATATCTATCTGTACAAAATACAATTGCTGTTTGGAATAACCAGGCTGGTTCAAATAATTGTTTGATCAGCAAGTTTCCTGTAAGTTTAGTAAACATGAAGCAAAATAATTCTCTGCAGAGTCAATTATTGAAAAATAATAAGCATACTGCAACAAAGTTAGAGGAAAGAATTTAATTTCATCATCTTAGCATTTATATTTGTTACTCTAAAGTATATGCCATATCCTTTTTGGACATAGGTAAGCCTGGCTCTTAACAACTCCCTGTCTTTTGTTGCACTTTAGAAACAAAGAAAAGAGTACTAGATTGTTATGTAACATGACAGTGAATGCTGGACAATCTTCTCTCAAATAAAGAGACTTGAAGCAACAGAAATGTAGTTCTACAGAAGGATGCTGAGTATACCATGGACTGAGCATGTGAGCAACCATTCAATTTTAGTGAAGGGGGAAACAAAAGGACCCTTATACTTAGAATCAGAAAGAGATATAGTTGAAATTTCTAGGGCACATAATGTGGAAAGAGAGCTTGGAAAATTTGATACTCACAGGACAGTGAAAGCAAGAGGGATAGAGCAAAACAATGCATAACCTACCTAATGAGCTTAAGTAAATAAATGGAAAAACAGGATTTAGATAACAAAAAGACAAAATTTATTAAGAGTTACAAAGGACAGGAAATAGTGGAGTGCCATGATCATCTACATCCTGAAGGGTCATGGAACAAAGTACCATTTGATTCTTTAGCATCCCTCTTTGTCTTTGTTCTGCCATCCATTTATTCAAAGCTATTAAGTAGGTAACTCACTGTTTCATTCTGTTTCTCTTGCCTTCAATTTTGTCCTCTATGTGTTAAATTCTACAAGCCTTCTTTCCTCATTGTATGTTCCAGAAATATTAACTCTTTCTGATTGTAAGCATCAGTTTTTTTATAGTTTCTAATTTCCTTAAAACGTTTGTGTTCATATGTTCCATTCAGGTCATTCTCAATATTTACATTGATAACACCACATCTTTGTTGCTTCAATTTTTTTTCTTCTGGGAAGAGTCTGTCCAGCATTACAGTTCAGTACTCTTCTTTGTTTATAAAGAAATTTTCCAATGTCTTAATTCTTTGCTTAATTTCTTGAAAGCATCTTTTGCTATTCCTATATTTTTTCAGATTTCTTTATCAAACTTCATGTTGACTGTTACTATAGTTTCCTGATAGATAAATTTCTGTATCTGCTTGATTTTGATGTCCCTAAAAAGTAGCTCACATCTTGGGCTGTCTCTTTTGCTAACAACCTGCATTTTGTCTTTTTACTCTTAATAGTTAGTCCTTTCTTCTTGCTTTCTATTTGACTATACCTCTTACTAAATTTAGCAAGATTAACTTATGGGAACTGAGAGTTCATGTGACTCAAGAAAAACCTAAAACAATATCTACTTAAATTTTTAGTACCTTTACTATTTTTATAACAATCTCTACTGATTAATTCATTTTAAATACAGTTTATCCTTGGTTGGTTTGTTTATTTTTTTATTTTTTTTTTTTAAAGTATGAAGGAAACATCTTAGAAGATAAACTTGAGAAATCTAACTTCCATTTAATCCACTTTTGCTTTCTCTTTCTACATTTTTTTTTTCACACTTTCAGGAACTGTCTGGGAGAAGCTCATGAACCTTGCAGCTGTAATAACTGGAAGTGTTGGCACCAGAAAATAGCAGAAGTCAAGCCTGAACAGTGTATGTTGCTAATCCAAGAAGGAATTTATCAATTTGTTTTTTTTATATTTTATTTTTTTTCAGAATCTTTTTTTTTATCATGTCTTTCTAAATTAACCCCATTTGCTGTCAGCAAATTAAGATTTCAGATGGATTTAGCTGTGTGCTTAAGCCTGTGTGCATAGAAGTGTAGCTTAATGGGTTGTAGCAGTATGGCCCTGTTTTTACCACTGTATTTGATTAGGAGATTTTATAAATACAGATATGTACTAACTATAATGAAGAAGAGTTGTCTAATGCTTAATATAAACTTAAATTTAAAAACAAATGCTTTTATCAACTTGACTAGAGAAATTAGAAATGTTTAGTTTCTGAAGACGTGCTTCCCAAAATCTAACCAAATGGTAAGGCCAATAATTTTTCAGTATCCCCTCCGAATATGCACAGTTAATTACTTTTTTATATTTTTTCATTATTATTTTATTATTGCTTTACCCCATTTCATTATTGAAGAATTGTATACAAGATATTTTCACCATAATTATTTTATTATTGTTTCATTTCATCTCATTATTATTGTTGGTGGGTGCTTAAGCCTTTTAGTATAAAGGTGTTGTTAAATCTAAGACAAAGCATTTTCCCCAATAATATTTTATTACTAGTTTTACTCCATTTTCTTATTGTTGCTTTTTTATAAGAACACCCATTTTGAATAGACTCTCTAAATGTCAGCTGTTCAAAATTGGAAATAAAGAAGTAACTTTTGATGTGACTTGAACTCACATCTCACACCTCATAAACCTGTTAATTACAAGCATTGCCTTAACCGCTTTGGTCAAAAAAAGCCTAAAGGATTAAATGGAATGCCATCTACAATCAAACTACTATTCTCTCCTTTCTGAATCTCTAAGCCAGGGACTACCCCGGAACCTCCTGACCAGATCAGAAGTGGTGTCAAGCTTGATTGGGGACCTTGGCCAGTGCTTTGTGATCCTTGCTATCTTGTTAACATTTGCTTTTTTCTACCTACATTTATATACATAAAAAATTAAACTAAGGACAACCGACTATTAAAGGATGAAAAATTTTTACAGATTTTGACATCATTTGGGGGGGGGGGTCCAAATGAGTGACTTTGTTTTACTCATGCTATGTTTTGAAAAAAAAAAAAAAACTATATAAAATTCACTATTTTTTATCCATAATTTTGAATGTGTTAAAATTATATAACTTTTTAACAAGAAACATCTCAAGTTGATATTAAAAATTACTGTAAAACATTGTTGATTATTTAAAATGGAATGATTGATTATATGTCTCTAATTTGTATTTAGATACATTGTATTTATTTTCAATTTTTTGTGTTGAATTGTTCACCTATATTACATTAAAATTATTTAAACAGCTAAGGGTTTCTTTGTAGAGATTAAAAAAAAGTTGTAGAAAGTCTTAATTACTGATTAAATATGTTTTTGTCAGGAATATATTAGGTTTGGATTTTTTTTAATCATGAAGGATAATTTTCAAGAATTTTAATATTTTCAATCCCTGTCAAATTTTAAAAGTATTTAAACATGTATTTTGAAAAACATCATTTTTTTTTTCATAAAATGAAGTTGAGTATATGATATACTTAAAATATCAATTAAATAATTCTATATGATTCTTTTATAAATCATTTATGTCTTTAGGGAATATTTTCATGGATATATGCATGATTACATACACACACACACACACACACACACATACATATATGTGTGTGTGGTGTACAATTAGTGGGTCATGATAGATGATACAGTGTTTATTTTGCATGTCTTTCTTAGAATAAATATTCTCCTTAGATATCCATCTGTTAAATAATCTATAGCAACTGCTGATTATATTTCTCTTCTTTTTTCTCTCCTTTGATAGATATTAAGGTTAATATCGTATAAGGCCTCAACAGTCAAGAACAAGACTCTATAAACTACCAATAACATCCTGTGTGACTACTAACTTAGCTGTGTGTGTGTGTGTGCATATATATATATATATATATATATATATATATCATACTTATTATAAAACCCAGGTTGTGTGTGTGTGTCTGTTCGTTTATATATTGGATCAGATTTCCTACATTTTTCAACTGATTTCAACAAAAGTTCACATGACTACATAAAATTACCTTGTGGTGGTTCTGACAGCGCCAAAAATTGGAAAAACACAATTGTTTTTGAAAACATGATTAAGAGGCATCGCTGTCGCGAGAATAAAAGGGGGACAACTCATATCGAGTTATACTTATTATAAAACCCAGGTTGTTTGTGTGCGTGTGTGTGTGTTCCTTTATATATGGGATCAGATTTCCTACATTTTTCAACCGATTTCAACAAAACTTCACTTTTTTTTGGCAGGTAGTGTTTCTTATTGTCTTGCACACTTTTTTCTTTATTTTTACATTCAGAATGCTTTAAAAATTCCATTTACAAGACAATTGTTTATAATAAAATTCTATTCAATCGGTAGACTCATAACGATTGAAAACAATGTTTATGTTTGAGTTTGGGTTTGATCAATCCATAAAGAAAAAAAAAAACAACTAATTAAGACATGCGTGTCCATCAACCTTAAACAATAATCTTTGTCAATTTTATTTTTCAGTCTTTATGACAGTTGATACTTGATCTATCTCTTAATATTATATCCCCGGGCAATGCCGGGCTCTACTGCTAGTATATATATATATATATATATATATATATATATATATATATAAATATTAAAGCTTCACAAAATTTCTGATGAAGTTTTAATAAAACCCAAATTCCACTGGATTACAATCCATATTTGAGCCTAATTCATATATATATATATATATATATATATGTTTTGTGTATGTGCAGCTTTTTCTTATGTGTATATGGAAAAGTTTTATCTTTGGCATTCTCAAATGATTTATTTAGAATTTATTGTTTTCTCTTTCATAAAAGAATTAATTTTCTCATATTTATCACTCGGTCATATGGTTTCATATCCAGGAGGTCCATATTAGATTTATTGTCAGTGCCTCTAACCTAATTTCCTTTCAGAAAACATCTTGACCTTGCTTATTCTACAGTTAATTCTTCAAGTATCAGAAGAACTCTTGAAGAGCAGGCTATGAAAACCAGGTGCCAATTACCTTTTTTTTCCTAATACCTTCCCTTCAATTTGTACCTGACCATGACCAGCACTTATCTATTTATGGTTGAATTTGGGGGAGTTGCAGAACTTTATTTTTATGCTATTATTTCTTTTTTTCTTTTCCCTCTACTTATCTTTTAATCTTCAATTTGTTTAATAGAAAATTCCTTATACCCTGGAAATGATTTTTTTTCTTTCTTTTGTATCTTTTTATTTTGTATTCTTTTCTTTTAAGAGATCAGATGCTAATAAAGATCCCTTTGAAGAAATTAGTGCCATCTTTTTTGTATAGGTTATTCCATAAATTTCTATGTTCTAAGTTCTCCCACTATTATCATCATTACGATCAATTTAGTGTTGGGATTCCAAAATCAAATCCTGTATTGTATCAACTTGGAGAACTAAGGTACCAAACAAATTACAGATTAGTTATTAGTACTGTTCTTAGGACTTGACATGAAATTAGATATTGAAACAAGTCTTTTGAGCAACTCACTGGTGCACATAGCTTGAGTGTTTTCTTGTTTAAGTATTTGCTGGACTAAGAAAGTTTTATTGTAGGATCACATTTTTAAAGTACTCAAAAATATTTGACTTTACTCTTCATGGCGTATCAGATCAGTACATTAACCATATAATCATTTATTTCATATATATTCAATGTAATTTTTGAATGGATTTTTAATGAAACATTATTTCTTACTAGAGTATAAATGTTATATTTAGTGGCTGTAACTGACCTCCAATCTCAATGAAAGAGCATCATGCTTCATACTGATGTTATCTTTTTATTCAGGAAATACACTGTGAAAACTAGAAACAAATAACAAATATATCTCTGAAAACTGGAAATGAATAAACAAAATACATTTCAAAGAAATAAACAAAACAAAGAAATCACTTTTCAAACATAAATAATAATAGAATTTTCAGCATTCTTCTGTGGAACCATTGTCGAGGACTGTGGGGGTTTGAGTGTTGTTGTATTAGGGACACGTGCTGTCTATTCCTGCTAGAAAAAGGTCCAACTACAAGAAAATGGCGGATTCAAATTGAATCCAACTGAAGATGTAAAGAAGACAAACAAGACCTTATATATATATATATATATATATATGTGTGTGTGTGTGTCAACAAATATATGTATTAAACAACAAATTTACAAGTGACAAAGACATCAATATTTGTGTTTGTGTGTGAATGTAAAGAGTTTGTATTTTGGTGACTGTTTGTATGTATGTCTATGTGTGTTTCATGGCGTTTTCCTATAAGTAGGCAGAAACGCTGATTTCTACGAGAGATTACATTTTTAAATGTCTGCTGAAATACAAAGTAAAAAGAGAACGAGGCAAGAAGTTGCCCAGTATTTATAGTGTTGAGAGAATGGCCCCTAGTGAACAATTAGGGAATTAAGGAGGAGCTAACTCCAACACCATATTTCTGTTGCTTAAAGTCTCGTCATCTATGAGGAGATTGTCCAACATTCATTATAGGAAGACTGGCATTATTATTATAACAGTTCAGTACTCTTTTTTTTTGTTTCTAACAATTTTTTTTTTTTTTTTTTTTTTTGGAAGGCATCTTTCACTCTCACAATGTTCTTTTAGATTTCAGTGTTGTTTTTTCCGTCATTTTCACTAATCTTAGAAAAACAACTAGGGCTTTACATTTACTAAACAGCAAAGAATCTTAATGTATTTGTTCAGAACAGAAATCTGAGTAATGTAAAGAATCTTTGAGTTCACAAATTGAAATTACTTATCCCATTGCACATAAAAAGATTTGTAAAATGAAAATTAAGCAGAATAATTGTTTTGTTTTGTTTTTTAAATTATCCTTACAATAATTAAATA